ATGATATGCGTTGAGTTTGACCATCAGTGAGTTTATTGATGTGTGAAAATGTTAAAGATGTTCGCCACTGCAATAATGTCCTTTGGTTTTCAGTTTGTTTGGAGAGGCTTTGCTGGTTTGAGATCCAGGCAGTTTATTGGCATCACCCTCCAATAAGGGGACTGTCTTTAAGTAAAGTAATTTGTATTTCTAAAATATCTATTTATGTAAATGCAGAGGTTACTGTTCTTTTCTCCTATCAGTAGTACAGTATTGCTTGTCACTGTTTTTGGTCATTTTGTGAGCTGAATCTCTGTGAAAAATCTGTATTTCAGAAAGCTATCTGGTGAAAGTAACAGTCTAAGTCATTTTGGTGTACTCTTGTTAATGTGTTTTATTTATCTGTCAAACAAGCTAACCTAATCTTTTAAGCTTTAATCAACTTTGCATGTTCTTTGTATCTGACTCTGTACTATTTCCCTTTAATGGGTCTAGAACCTGTCTAACTTTTGTTACAATTGTGATAAAAAATGTATATTTTTTGTTTGCTAGGGTGTTGTCCGGTCCATTGCAGTGCTCCAAACTGACCCAACTCAATGGATGGGCTGTCACAAACCTGTCATATGTTCTGGTTGAGGTGTTCCCCTCACTGAATAGTTCCTGTCTGGTTGTGCCATTTTAGCTAACCCTATTCGGCAGGTGTTACTACAGTCATGTCCACAAAAATACTACAGTCTACTAGTCATGTCCGCAAAACATTGTATTGAATACTACAGTGAAGTCTGCAAAAACACTAGTCATGGCCGCAAAAATACTACAATATACTAGTCATGTCCACAAAACACTATAGTGAATACTACAGTGAAGTTCACAAAAACACAAGTCATGTCCGCAAAAACACTACAGTAAATACTAGTCATGTCCACAAAAATACTAGTGAATACTACAGTATACAACAGTAATGTCCGCTTAAACACTCCAGTGAATACTATAGTATACAACAGTCATGTCCGCTAAAACACTACAGTGAATACTATAGTAAAGCCTGCAAAAACACTACAGTGAATACTATAGTATGTAAATATAGTAATACCACAGTATTTAGACCATGTACTTTTTTCATGTGGATAGAAGGAGAGCTGAAGAGAAGGATGCATACACATGGGAAGGAAAAATAAGACATTGGACAATTCTAATTCCCTTATTGCCTAGCAGCATCTAACCAAATGACACTGCAGATCAAACAAGCTGTTAGAACTGTATGTGTGGTATTCTGAAACAGATAGTGTGTGAGAGGGGAGAACAGGAGCCCCAGAAGAACAAACTTGTGTCAACAAGAATACTCAAAGAAACACACTTGAGACACAATGATTTTATAACATACTTTTTTCACAAAACTGGAATGTACGTCTGGAAAGAGGTGATTGGGGAGGGACAAGAGAGCAGAGACACCAGGGAGGTAACAAAGCATGTTATAGTGTCCTGCAAAGTCTCACAACACTCCTAGCAGTCTCTCAACATTCAGTCTCATCGATCTCAAAAAGGTCTCCTTTACCATTTCCAGTGAGGGAAAAAAGTATTTGATCCCATGCTGATTTTGTACGTTTGCCCACTGACAAAGAAATGATCAGTCTATAATTTTAATGGTAGGTTTATTTGAACAGTGAGAGATTTGAACAATCCAGAAAAACACATGTCAAAAATGTTATAAATTGATTTGCATTTTAATGAGGGAAATAAGTATTTGACCCCTCTGCAAAACATGATTTAGTACTTGGTGGCAAAACCCTTGTTGGCAATCACAGAGGTCAGACGTTTCTTGAAGTTGGCCACCAGGTTTGCACACATCTCAGGAGGGATTTTGTCCCACTCCTCTTTGCAGATCTTCTCCAAGTCATTAAGGTTTCAAGGCTGACGTTTGGCAACTCGAACCTTCAGCTCCCTCCACAGATTTTCTATGGGATTAAGGTCTGGCTAGGCCACTCCAGAACCTTAATATGCTTCTTCTTGAGCCACTCCTTTGTTGCCTTGGCCGTGTGTTTTGGGTCATTGTCATGCTGGAATACCATCCACGACCCATTTTCAATGCCCTGGCTGAGGGAAGGAGGTTCTCACCCAAGATTTGACGGTACATGGCCCCGACCATTGTCCCTTTGATGCGGTGAAGTTGTCCTGTCCCCTTAGCAGAAAAACAACCCCAACGCATAATGTTTCCACCTCCATGTTTGACAGTGGGGATGGTGTTCTTGGGGTCATACGCAGCATTCCTCCTCCTCCAAACACGGCGAGTTGAGTTGATGCCAAAGAGCTCCATTTTGGTCTCATCTGACCACAACACTTTCACCCAGTTCTCCTCTGAATCATTCAGATGTTCATTGGCAAACTTCAGACGGCCCTGTATATGTGCTTTCTTGAGCAGGGGGACCTTGCGGGCGCTGCAGGATTTCAGTCCTTCACGGCGTAGTGTGTTACCAATTGTTTTCTTGGTGACTATTGTCCCAGCTGCCTTGAGATCATTGACAAGATCCTCCCGTGTAGTTCTGGGCTGATTCCTCACCGTTCTCATGATCATTGCAACTCCACGAGGTGAGATCTTGCATGGAGCCCCAGGCCGAGGGAGATTGACAGTTCTTTTGTGTTTCTTCCATTTGCGAATAATCGCACCAACTGTTGTCACCTTCTCACCAAGCTGCTTGGCGATGGTCTTGTAGCCCATTCCAGCTTTGTATAGGTCTACAATCTTGTCCCTGACATCCTTGGAGAGCTCTTTGGTCTTGGCCATGGTGGAGAGTTTGGAATCTAATTGATTGATTGCTTCTGTGGAAAGGTGTCTTTTATACAGGTAACAAGCTGAGATTAGGAGCACTCCCTTTAAGAGTGTGCTCCTAATCTCAGCTCGTTACCTGTATAAAATACACCTGTCCACAGAAGCAATCAATCAATCAGATTCCAAACTCTCCAAACCTGTAAAATCTTTCTGATTGAGAGGGGGTCAAATACCTATTTCCCTCATTAAAATGCAAAACAATTTATAACATTTTTGACATGCGTTTTTCTGGATTTTTTTGTTGTTATTCTGTCTCTCACTGTTCAAATAAACCTACCAATTACAATTATAGACTGATAATTTCTTTGTCAGTGGGCAAACGTACAAAATCAGCAGGGGATCAAATACTTTTTTCCCTTACTGTACCTACCACATCTAACCTTTGTCTCATCCCTTGTCTCACCAACAGTTCTGAAAAGTTCACCAACAGTTCTGAAAAGCAGGGCCCCCTCCTCAGGATGAGGTTATTGGCACAAAATGACTGAGTGGGAAACAGCAGTTGAGAAAGACAACCTAGTGAAAGCAAATGACACTATGGAAAATGGTACACAGAGTACGGTAGAATGGAACACATAATTACACTGGCCTTAAGTCCAGCTGGTCACTGGTAGAGAACTGAAAGCAGAATGTCTTGTTTATTCTAGCACCCAGAAAATCACTTTCTTTTCAGAGGTCTCTGCCGCCATGCTCAGGTAGTGTGCTGTTGCTTGTAGTCCAATCAGAGTCCAATATTGTTGAAGGGTTGTGATGTAAGTATAAGGTCCAGAATGTCCCAGAGTGATGAAATGATGAAATGTCACAGAGAGATGTCAGACCCAGCGGGAGCTTGACTGATCTGTGATGTTTCCCATCACTCCGTCACTACCTCCAACGCTCTGACTATGGACCTCAACATCCTAGAAATCATCACACTACATAAAAACTACAGTAGGAATCCGTTACTTTGTATGAAAACATGAAACAATACATCTATTTCTGTGTATGAGGTGTGGTCCTGAGACCTGAGTTTTAAAGCCAGCGTGTGAGATCTTTCCCCTATACCACTCATTATGTGCACATTGTGTTGAAACGGTCCCGCAGACAAAGGATGTTCTAAGTCACATTGACATGGACTCCAACATGGTGCTATATATGTTGACTATCGTCTGTGGCATTTCAACAATGACCTCTGACCTTTTCACCTTCTTTACTTGCTGCATTCCTCTCCTCAGCCAGCCAACCATAAGTCATCAGTTACCAATGCATTGTGGGAAATGAAAACAGACTGCAGCTGTCACAAAACCAAACTGATCATTCACCTCAAAAAAAAAAAAAACACTTTCACCAAGCTTAGAGGAGCAACATAAACAACACATTGGGTTAAGTTTTCTATACAGAAAAGTGAACTATTTCAATGCTAAGGCATTGCAGAGTGAGTGAGAGAATGGGATAAAGGAACAAAATATCCTTCATTTCGAAGACAAACACAAAACATGAAATAAATAACAGTACCTAGATCTCATCTAGACTCCAAAACAGAGAACATACAACACTGACAAGAAAACAGTGCCTAACAGAAATCTGAACTGAAATATCTACAAATGAGTTATGAAATAATTATATTATATAATCTGTAAATGATGACAGTGGGTAGAAATCTTGCTTTGATATTTGCTCGTGTGGTTTTGGTTTTAAGACTGACATACCCCGAAAAAAAAAGTTATCACGCACCACACACAAGCAGACATACTGCTTACGCATAGGCACGCATGCACAAACACATTCACTCACACAAATATACACACACACACTAACATTTTGAATTGTTTGACATTTCATATCCAGTGTCAGCGCTCACTTTGAGTGAGAGGCGACACTGAGCCACTGCCACTGTGAGTCAGTCAGTTTAACGGCCCTGATGTCCAGGCCTCATGGACCCAATCATAGGGTTCAAAGCAGGGAAGAGGGCCATACCCCCACCCATACACAACCACCCCTCCATCCATCCACAGTGGCAGAGCACTGTACAGTACAGTCCATGGGACAGGAGGGTGAGGACAGCCGTCCCGACAGTCAGTCATAGAGAGGGAGGTAGGAGAATAAGGGAGTGGAGGGAGCTAGAGGGACAGTTTAGAATTCTAAGTTAAAAACAGCAGTCTATTTGTTGGTACTGTGTCAATGCCAGCTGGGCCGTCTAGGTGTCTCTCCCTCATACTTTGTAGTAGATGTTGGCTGGGCTCTGGGGAGGCATCTCCTGGACGATGTAGACGGGGTGGCCGTAGTCCCCGCTCACCTTCTCGTAGTGCGGGCAGTAAGCCTGGTCTGAAGTCCGCAGAGGGATGATGATGTCACTGGGCTCCGAACCATTGTTGCCTCCGGCGGAGGAGCCGGCCCCGTTGTTGCTGCCCCTCTTGGGGGTGAGGGTGGCCAGGGTTCAGGGTGGGGTGGTGGGTCTCAGAGTGCTTGTTCTGTCGCCAGCGGTAACACACCACACAGATGACGGAAGTCACGATGAGGAGGAAGGCTCCGCCCCCTGCCGCTCCAGTGATCACCGCCACGTTAGAGGAGGGTAGAGGGTTGTTCCCCTCGCCCTCTCCACCAGCCTTGGGCGTGGTACCGTTCCCTGTTAGGGGAGAGGGGTCAGGATCAATGACTAGTACTGTAAATACTGTATCATTAAACCAGTGAGGAGAGTTTCCTCTCCTTCCTTCTGGAGTACTGTACTGTAGACTTACCTTTGGGGTGGAAGCGGTTTGGGTCTGGTTTGGGTTTGGGTGGGAGGCCATAAGCAGCTATGGGAAATCACACAGTTTCTTTAGGGTTGTGAACAACATTACATAGCACAGTTTCCTGAATATTGTTACAAAATATGTACAAGAATATTAAAGACCCCATGCACATTAGTTTATATGAGGATGATTACTATTGAAAGACTAATTACAGCAAATCAACAAGAATATACACTACCAGTCAAAAGTTTGGACACACCTACTCATTCAAGGGTTTTTCTTTATTTTTACATTGTAGAATAATAGTGGAGACATCAAAACTATGAAATAACACATATGGAATCATGTAGTAACCAAAAAAGTGTTATATATATTTTTTATATTTGAGATTCTTCAAATAGCCACCCTTTGCCTTGATGACATCTTTGCACACTCTTGGCATTCTCTCAACCAGCTAAAATATATTTTGATTTGTTTAACACTTCTTTGGTAACTACATGATTCCATATGTGTTATTTCATAGTTTTGATGTCTTCACTATTATTATACAATGTAGAAAATAGTAAAAATTGAGAAAAACCCTTGAATGAGTAGGTGTGTCCAAACTTTTAACTGGTTCTGTATATATATATAGTAAGGATGATGATGATACTCACTCTGTCCCACTTTGAGAATCACCTTCATCCCTCGTGTCACACACACTCCTCCTCTCGTGCTGTCCAGCCCCTGCCTCGTCCCATCAGAGGTAGCTAAGAGAGGAAGAGGAGAAGAAGAAGACTACGGTTAGAGAGATACCTAACACTATCCCACACACATGTCAAACTATGCAGTTTAAGTAAATATTGTCAGAGAACAACACTGTTGTGTTGGGTTACCTCAGCAGCAAACTACATGGAGTCAAAAGCCCTCAAATTATTCCCATCTTTCTTCACACACATGGTAATACATACATACATTCTGACACCACACTTACACACTCTGTAACATGACACACTTCAACACGTAACATCAGGCATGCTTACACACACACACACTAAACCATGGCACAGCTGGGCCTTCTGGTCATGGGGACTAGGTCAGAGCAGGAAGCCAGAAGCCATGTCCCATCAGACACACTGTGAACCCAAACCCACAACCATGTCCCATATCACCCACACAATCCCCCAGACACACTCAGAACCACAACCCAGCCACATCCCCTGGCATTTTAAACCCAAACCCAGTCATATTAATCCAAACCAAGAACAGTGGCCATTTAAACCCACATCAACCATAATCACACCACATGACACCCTCCTACAGTATCAACCTCCTATTAACTGCTTGAGGCTATAGATTACATAACACTAGGTAAAGTATAGATGTAAGGAAAGGTATACTGGCATCCTGTAGCTCAGTTGGTAGAGCATGGCGCTTGCAAGCCAGGGTTGTGGGTTTGATTCCCACGGGGGGCCAGTATGAAAAATGTATGCACTCACTAACTGTAAGTCGCTCTGGATAAGAGCGTCTGCTAAATGACTAAAATGTAAATGTATTATCTCTCTCTCTCTCCCCCCCCCCACTTGGAAGGTGTAGAAAATATAAATGAAAGAGTGATAGAACAGAAGAACAATAAAGAATGGATTGATAGAGAACAGAAAGCATGTGAGGTTAATTAAATGAGAAGCAGAAAGAAGAGAGACACAAGGAGGAGTGAGTAATGGAGATGATGATCTGTGGCGAAGGAGAGAGAGAGAGAGAGCGGGATGTACAGCCACGGTCAGAAACAGGCGGAAGTTGCTCAGAAAAAAACCCAACACATGACAAAAGGGAAAGTTGTTAATGCATTTAAATAAAACGAGACAGTCATTAACACATGAGCACACCCATTCTGTAATAGAGGGGGATTTATACACAGACAAGAGTGACCCACTTAGCCCAAACCCATCCCCTACCCTTGCCAAACCTCCCCCTCTCTTCTAAGTGAGAGAGCAGCTAAGGGATTGACCTGTGTTGATCAAGGATAGAGCAAGCAGCGTAACTCCAAAAGATGGGTTTAACCCGCCTTTAACCGGGCTAAATCAAGTGAACCATTTAACCCATCCCATGTGAAATTAAAGAAATCTGTGTGCCTTGCATAAACCCTTTTCCCCACACAACAACCCACCTGGACAAAAGGAATGCATTTGTGTGGATGTGTTCATCGACTACAGCTCGGCCTTCAATACCATAGTGCCCTATAAGTTCATTACAAAGCTCACGGCCCTGGGACTGAACTCCTCCCTATGCAACTAGGTCCTGGACTTCCTGACGGGCCGCCCCCAGGTGGTGATAGTAGGCAACATGTCCTCCTCGACACTGATCCTCAACACAGGGGCCACACTAGGATGCATCCTCGGTCCCCTCCTGTATTCCCTGTATACCCACGACTGCGTGGCCTCACACAGTTCCAACTCCATCATCAAGTTCACTGACGACACAACAGTAGTAGGCCTGATCACCAACAATGGCGTGGTGCCAGGTAAACAACCTCTCCCTCAACGTTAGCAAAACAAAGGAGCTGATTGTGGACTTCAGTAGGAACCAGGCTGGACACGCACCCATCCTCATCAATGGGGCCGCCGTGGAGACGGTCAATAACTTCAAATTCCTCGGCGTACACATCTCAGAGAGGCTAAAATGGTCTAACCACACAGACACCAGAGTGAAGAAGGCACAACAGCAACTCTTCAACCTCAGGATGCTGAAGAAATTCAGCCTGTCCCCAAGGGCCCTCACAGTGTTCTACAGGAGCGCCGTCGAGAGCATACTGTTGGGCTGCATCACAGCCTGGTACGGCAACTTCACCGCCGTGGATCGCAAGGCGCTTCAGAGGGTGATACGTGCAGCCGAACGCACCATTGGGTGCACACTGCCTGCCCTACAGGACAACTACAACCCCAAGTGTCACAGGAAGGCCAACAAGATCATCAGGGACCCCAGGAACCCAAGCCACGGCCTGTTCTCCCTGCTTCAATCACTCAGACGCGGGCAGTACAGGAGCATCATGGCAAAAACGGAAAGACTGGCCAATAGTTTCTACCCTCAGACCATCAGGCTGCTGAATAGCTACCACTAGTCAGCTACCCCCCCCCCCCCACCTTACCTGCTGCTCCCCCTATGGACATTCTTGCAATCACACCCTGCAATCACACCTGCAACCCTGTACATGTGACTATTACACACTCTGAATTTGAATCTGAAAACATCATTTTAATTCAGTTCAGCGGATTCAGGCTTTAGTTGAGCCCACGTCAGCTGTCACTCTGCCCAATGGGCTGGTCTCCATCAGCAGTAGCAGCACTTCCAGACACATTGGGAAGCTACATTAGGGCCAGGTTGGTACACAGGGAAGGCAGTCTCTCTCTCGCCCACTCTGTCCAACAGGGTGTTAAAACAGGGACACTGTCCTGCGGGAGGTCACTTTTGCCTACATGCGCCTTGCAACGTGCAGTCAATGTAACGCCATAGCAGTCAACGTGCAGTCAATGTAACGCCATAGCAGTCAACGTGCAGTCAATGTAACGCCATAGCAGTCAACGTGCAGTCAATGTAACGCCATAGCAGTCAACGTGCAGTCAATGTAACGCCATAGCAGTCAACGTGCAGTCAAGGTTCCCTTACAGGGAAGTGGATAGGTATGGCTAGACATGGTTGGAAATCTAGACTGCTGTCTCTTTTTTGGGGGGTATAAATCTAGACTGCAGTCTGTCTGTAAGTTGTAAAGTACATTAGCCTAATATCAGCCCATTGTTAACAAGCCTGTTATCTGGTGTTCTAAATGAGGTGCGGTCTGTGTGTGTAGGCTATGTTGGAAACGTGACTCAGCCGAGCTCCATGCAGTACAGTACAGTGCAGTGCTCTGCTGCTCTATTAATGGTTGGTATAGTAGGGTTGGACTCTGATGTCTGACCCAGATAAGGTTATGTTGTGGCTGGGGGGCACATTAAAAAGTGGCAGGCTTTAACTTCCCTTAAAACAAACTCTGCTCACAGAGATGCAGCTTTACACTTGGCTGGCTGTTACAGTAGGTGGAAGGATGCTAAAATTTATGAATTTAGGATTGACAATAAACTCATTGCGATGACATATTGATCGTAACATACTTTTTACTGTATGCAAGCCATTGGGTCCTATTCTATCTAAACTCAGTAACCGAATATCTGGTCTAAAACACATTTTGTATTGTGCTGCATGAGCGCACGTTTACATTCACATGCACTCACCCACAACTTGTTTACTGCAAGAAATTCCCCTGCATATTGATTTAAACCTGCTTCCAACTATACAAAAATATACTTATCTTAGGAATCTGGTGACTGGGTTCGATTGAATAGGGTTCCTTGTATTGCTACTTAAAGGGGCAATCTGCAGTTGCTACATCCATTTTTGAACTTATGAATGAATGAAATGTACCCATTGATTCTTGAAGAATCTAACTTATAAATGCCTCAAGAGCTTAGTTCAACCATGCCATCAGAACCCAATGTTTGTAAACAAAGTAAATGTAAACAAATACTATAAAGCCTCAAAACATGGTTAAATTTTTTTATATCTTGGATGGTCTGTCCTTGCATCCATAGCTCTGTCTATGATTTTAAGAGTGGTTCAATTTCTCCAGCCCCATCCCTCAGCTTTTTACCAAAACAGGGGCAGAGAACACTGTTATTGTTTCAACTGCTGATTGACGCTTTAAAACACTCAGATTCTTCCCTCTCTATTCTCCCTTAAATCTCTGTCCATGCAAGCTTCAAATAATTGGTTTACAGGCTAACACACCCTCTTTCAAATCGAATTTGTGTTTTTCCTCATTGCACAGAGTTGTAACTTGTGCCTAAACAACTTTCCCCAATCTGTGTGGGCAGCAGTGTCTCCGGAGCCAAATAGCAGTAGCCTGCCTCAGTGCACTAATCTGTAATTCGTGGAGTCACTGAGGACACAAATTGAAACATGACGCTTCACCTCTCTTTGATTGGACGAGGCCGTTCACTGAATACTAACTGTGGTTATTAGCCAATAGAAGGCTTGGCAGTTGAAGCAGGTACTCAGATTTAGGGTTAGGGTTCACCTTAGTTGAATAGTCAGATTCACATCTGTGACTCAGCATCCCTGTCCTTCCTTGTCTTCTCTCTCTCACTGTTCTGCTCTGGTCATCACGCTCTCTGTCTCTGCAACCATCTGTGTCTCTGTCTACATCTTCAACACAGAAACCTCTCCCTCATTAGCATTTTACCTCAGGTACATCATGTACATCATTACATTGCAGAGTATGTCTCTCCACATTGGCTAGTTCTATAGTTACACGGCGTGATGCTGAAGCCCAAAACACAGGGAGCTGATTTCCAATACAGTAAAAGAAAGACAGACCAAAATAGTACAGGGAGGATGGGTTGGAAAAGGTGAATCGATGGCAGAAATAAGACAGAAGTGAGAGAGAACAGGGGAGATGGAAGAAGAGAAGGAGAGAGGAAGAGAGAGAGGCTGAGAGCACAGACGGGGGGAGTGAAAGTGGGAGGGAGAGAGAGAAGGGAAGACTAAATTAAGAAACAGGGAATGTAGAGGAGAGAGAGAGAGAGAGAGAGAGAGAAGAGAGAGAGAGAGATAGTATCGGATCGATATAGAGAGAGAGAAGAGATATATATATGAGTAGAGATATAGGATATAGAGAGAGAGATCTATCGATAGAGATGAGAATATTTTTGCGATATAGGTAGAGAGATATAGAGAGAGAGAGATG